TTCGCGACGCCAGAGAACGTGGGGCGGGCCCGACCGGCGGACGGTGGCCCGCTGGGCCCAATGCTAACTTGTACTAAGTATCGTGGACGCGTGGGGTAAGTGGACCGTGCGTTGCAGGGCAGGGCCCATTCCTTTAAAACAAAAGAGTGGTTTGGGTTGTTTATTTGTTTTTGAAACTGTTTATTTTTCATCCACCTTATCTCCATTCTGTTTAAGAGTTTGTGGAAGAACAACTTAAGACCACGCAGTGGGTGTCCCTACCCGTTCAGCGGCCTGAGCAGTGGGGGCTGCAGAGCAGTCTTCTGTGGCAGGCCGAGTGCTGAGTCTTCAATAGGAAACTGCTGAATAGGCACAGAGGCACCTGCTCGTCATCAGACCCACCCCTGGCCTCGGGTTGAGCTGCAGTGAACTCCGGAGCTGGAGCAGCCCTTTCACCCTAAAATTCTCTCTCTTTTCAATCTCTCCAGGCTCTCTGTAGTAGAGATCAGGCATGACCTCCCATGGATGTTCACGGGAGATGGTGCCGCGCTTGCACAGAACTTCCCGAGCCAGCATCCACCACATTAGACCCACTGAGTGAGCTCCTTGCTGTTGCAAGGGCTGGCAAAGTCCACATTGCACAGAGGAGAGTCTGCGTGACACAGCGCAGTGGTCGGCAGGTTATAATATAAGACGTGTCTGTGAGGAGCTGGTGGTCAGCGATAGATCAGTAATCACCAGGAGTCTCGGCTCCCGTAAGACTACCTGGGTGTGGTTGGTGAAGATTCCAGGAGTAAAGCAGCTGGCAGTAAGAGCGGCTCCAGTGACAAACTCAGCTTGCTGGCCAGCATTCCTGGACGAGATGACACTGGCGTCAGCAGGGGTTTCAATGGCAACAGTGGCACGAACTGCCAGCAGGAGCCTCTCCCAGGTGCTCTTCAGATTTATGATGTAGATGCCATCACTTTTCCTTTTGTAGATGTGCTGTTCCATTTGGAAGTCAAGGTTGGTGCCACCTAAGTGGGTTCCTGCTGTAAGGAATTTAAGGACAGGACATCCTCCTCCTTCATTTGCAGGACATCAAGGTCTCTGGACATTGTGAAAGTTTCCATTTCAGTTATGTGGGAACTGAGAACAATGCCATATGGGTAGTGTAGAAAGCTGTTTTCTATTTTTTGTTTTTTAATCCTCACCCCGGGATATGTTTATTGGTTAGAGAGAGAGAGGGGAGTGGAGGAGGGAGAGAGAAAGAGAGAAACATGGATGTGAGAGAGAATCAGTTGCCTTCTTTACATGCCCCAAACGAACCCGTAACCTAGGTATGTGCCTTGACTTGGAATTGAACCCGAAACTATTTTTGGTGTATAGGGATGATGCTTCAATCAGTTGAGCCACCCAGACAGGGCAAAGCTGTTTTTGTTTTTTTAATAACATGATTAAATAAATGTTTAAAAGAAATATTCACTTATAATCGTGCACTTATAACTGCACAATTGTAACAATTGTTTCCATTTTTGCCTAACGACTTCCAATCTATAATCATGTATACACATAATAATAATGTATTCAGTCATAACAGTGTAAAAGTAAGTGAATGGTGCCATTAGTTGAATTGGGAAAACAAGTTTGGATGGAGTGGAAATCAAGAGTTCTATTTTGGACAGTTAAGTACGATATGCCTATTAGACATCCAAATAGAGTTGTTCAGTAGGAACTTGGATGTGTGAGAAGATCACTGCTAGAGATACAGATTTTGGATGCATTAGAAGACATGCTATTTGAAATGGTGGGGCTGGTCAAATTATATTGAGTGGTGTCTAATAGAAATGGAAATTCACAGGACTTGACCACTGATCAGAGGTTGTAAGTGTGCATATGTCTGTACCAGAGAGAGCTTCACAGAGAGAAAAGTCACACGACTTGGAACTTTTTAGCCTAGAAATAATAGAAAATCGTGTGATTTTAACTGATACAGGGAATAGAAGAGAACTAGAAGAACAAAAAGGAGAAAGGAGGAAATAATGAGTTCAGTTTGGATCATGCTGAGTTCGAGGCACTAATAGGTCAACCAGAGATGGAGTCTAGCAGTTTAAATTATGAATTTTATTTTAATTTTTTTTAAAGATACAAGAGCCTGTTTATAATTTCCCATTGTCTCTTCAATAGTGAACACTGCTTCAGCTACTTTACCCCTCAATAGACTTTTTTTCCCCGACCTTTCCTATTTTTTTTTTAAAAAAATATTTTTATTGATTTCAGAGAGGAAGGGAGAGGAGAAAGAGATAAAAACATCAACAATGAGAGAAAATCACTGATAGGCTGCCTCCTGCATGCCTCACACTGGGGATCAAGCCTACAACCCAGGCATGTGCCCTGACTGGGAAGCAAACCGTGATCTCCTGGTTCATAGGTCGACACTCAATCACCGAGTTACTCAGGCCAGGCAATCAACAGACTTTTGAGCAGCTCTTGGAATACAACCACTATTTACATTAGATTGAAAATGTCCTATTTACAAGTTTTAGGAACACACTCATTTATTAAGTGGGGATTGCCTAAATTAGCAAGCATGCACCTGTGAGAGAAGATGCTAATTGCCTCCAAATCCACATTTTCTCCTTCAATATTAATAGAATTTCAGATTTTTAGTTAGGCCTATGGTCAGCTCTAATAAAAACTAAATTTCGGGGGGAGGATGGGAGCAGGCTGGAAAAAGTTAATGGGGGGAAAAGGAGGACCTATGTAATACTTCTAACAAAGAGTTTTTAAAAAAAACCACCTAAATTTCTCAGCTTCCCTTGCAGCTACATCTGTCCATGTAATTAAGTCCTAGTCAATGAAATGTAAGCAGAAGTGATATGTGCATTTTCAGGAAAATATTTTTAAGGAAAGAGGGCATGACCTTCTTCCCTCTTCCTCCTTCTCACTGACTGAAATTGGGATGTAATGGCTGGAACTTGAGCAGCCATATCAAACTCTAACATAATCTTTGGAATAAGAGCACACCCAGGAATACCTGACACTTCAGGAAGGAACCCGGCAGGGCTGGGCGGGGAAGGAGCGCGGGTCGGCGGGTGGCGCGTCCAACCGCCGCCTGTCAAACGCCACTCGGGGCGTTTTACTTGCACCCCCTGGGGGCGACCCGGAGACGTCCGTGTTCCTGGCCACGACAGCGCAGGCCCTGGTACAGAATTTAGCGCTTTCACGGGCTCTGTCGCTCCTAACCCTCCTGTCCCCGGCGAGGCGGTTGGAGACTTGCCAACGGTCAACTGCTTAGACTGTCGACACTTCCAAGAAGAAAATGGCCCCCGGGGGCTTGGGACGCGCTCCTGGGACTGTCACGGAGCGAGCACTTGGCGGCCCCGCGCCCCCGGCTCGGCCTCCAGCCCCTCAGGACGCAGGCGCGGTCACTGAGCTCTCCCCGCGGAGACTCTCCGGACCGCACCCGCGCCGGCGCGTTGGGCGGCGAGAGGCGGGGCCTCGCCAGGCCCTACGTCACTTCCGTGGGACGGCGCGGGCGCGAGTCAGCATGTTGTCAGCCGTTCGCCGCGGTCCAGTCCTGCTCCGGCTGCGGCGCTTCAGGCGGCGGCCGGGGGTCGCGCCCTGTCCGTCCCTGCGCGACCTTGGACGGGAGCCCGTCGAGAGAGCTCGGTCCCGGTGTAGCGACTCCTCGCAAAGAGACGCGCGAGATGGACGGAGAGAGCGCGAGGCCGCGCCGAAGAAGGCTCCCGCCGCAGAGTCGCCTCCATCACTCCCTCCGAGCGGCCGGGGCATTGGGGCCAGATGTCTTTCGTCACTGGAAAGCCTCCGACCGCCGGCGCCTCGAGAGGAGCCATCCCTTCGAGAGCGCGAGGACTCGAGCGGAGACCTGGCCCTGTCCGATCCCGCACACCGGGCGTCCGGGGGTTCCTCCCTGCCCGCCCTGGTGGCAGAACTTCACGGCTCCTCTCCCTGGTCCACTTCCAGGGAGGAGCCCTTTCGGGCTGGGGAGCTGATTTTAGCTGAGACTGGGAAGAGAGAAACACAATTTAAAAAATTGTTTCGGCTGAGCAACGCCGGGCGTTTAAATAGCAGCTGGGGGGTAGTCCCGTTCAGCGACATCGTGGGGAAGTTCCCCGGCCAGATGCTGAGGAGCTCCTTTGGTAAGCACTTCCTGCTGAGGAGGCCGGCACTGGAAGACTATGTGTTACTGATGAACAGAGGTCCTGCCATAACGTATCCGAAGGTAACGCCATGGGAGTTAGGTGCATACTGGCTCCAGAAAGAGCAAAGGAGATCAGCACCGCAGACCTGATTCACCTACTTAAAGCACTTCTCAGGTGGTTCGGGTTTTTATTGTTCTCAGTCTATTAAAAAAAAAATCATGGATATGACTTTTTTTAAAAGATATTTTTTATTGATTTCAGAGAGGGAGAGAGATAGAAACATCAATGATAGAATCATTGATTCTCTCGTCATTGATTTGCCTCCCGCACCCCCCCTACTGGGGATCGAGCCAGCAACCCGGGCATTGCCCTTGACTGGAATCAAACCCGGGACCCTTCAGTCCGCAGGCCCAGGCTCTATCCACTGAGCCAAACCGGCCAGGGCTATGGATATGACTTTTATGCCAATTTTAGGAGGAAACAGCCAGATTTTAATTTGGGAGTCTCGATTCTCTAATCTGTAAAGTGAAAAGAATATCAATTTACTACATAGAGTTAAGTGAACTCACTAGGCACATAATAAGTACTTATATTTGTTCCCCATAATTCTAAGTTTGCAAGTTCAGCATTCAGCGTGTTGAACTCTTTTGGGGACAATTTTTTAGTACCGTTATGGTGATATTTTAATCATATTTCATTTGATAAGGCATGTTACTAGAGGTATGTTATCAACTATAGATAAATTACTATGCTTTCCCTTTAGAAAAAGTTTTGTATTAACACAGCTAAAATTAAACACTAAACATAAAAGGAATATCCTTTATGAATAAATTAACTACCTAGTTCAGTGATGGCGAACCTTTTGAGCTCGGCGTGTCACCATTTTGAAAAACCCTAACTTAACTCTGGTGCCGTGTCACATAAAGAAATTTTTTGATATTGCAACCATAGTAAAACAAAAACATTTTTGATATTTATATATTTAAATGCCATTTAACAAAGAAAAATCAACCAAAAAAATGAGTTCACATGTCACCTCTGACACGCGTGTCACGCGTGTCACAGGTTCGCCATCACTGACCTAGTTCCTAGAATCTTATACTAATCATCCATTGCTAGCAGTTTATTTCAATCCTTAATTACAGTCACAGTCCTTGGGCAGGTTGTTCCTTTGTAACAACTCCTATTCCCAGATGCGGAGACACTCATTATTTATTCAGCAAATAATCACCTACCTTCTATGTTCAGGGCACTACTTTAGGGAGGTAGAATGGTGAACCACAGTCCTTGCTCTTAATACAGACCTTACATCCTAGAGGAGGTGACAAAGAAAAAAACAAGTAAATGAAAGAATATGATAATTTCAGGTAGTGCTGAGTGTCATGAAGATACAGTAATGTTGTATTGGGTGACGTGGGGGAAGAGAATTTTTTTATGTCTGGTGGTTAGAGAAGGTGTCCAAGGAGGTACATTATTTTAAAAATCCTCAACCCAGGATAGTTTTTCTATTGATCTTTTTAAGATAGAGAGAAAAACATCCATGTGAGAGACACACATTGACTGGTTGCCTCCCACATGCTCCCAGACCCGTCCAGGAATGACTGGACCTGGATCCAATTTGCAACCCGAAATCCGTTCCCTTGACCAGGAATCTAACTGCAACCCTTCGGTCCACGGGCCGACACTATAACCACCACTGAGCAAAACTGGCCAGGGCTCCAAGGAGGTACAATTGATAAACACAATTTAAGGAAAAGCCAGTCATGCAAAGAGGTAGGAGCCAAGGGTTCTTGCAAAGGTGAAAGTATTGCAGAATTCAATAGTTTTGTGTTCACCGCTGTTTTTTTCAAAGTTGTTTCTACCTTGTGATTGTTTCCTTAAATTCCCCACTTTGTCTTTAAACTAGGAGCTCCTATTGTACTTATTGTCTATAATTTCAGTATTATACTGCTTTATTAGCTAATTGATTCTTGAATCTCTTATTTCATCAAGTAAAATATAAACTCTTGCTAGGCAGGGCCAGGGTTTAATCCTTTTTTGTCACTTTTTCTCCAAGTCCAACATGATATTTGATAAGAGTTGGTGCTTAGTACGTATTTATTGATTAGTTTGTTTAAATCATAGGATATAAGTATGATGCTGTTGATGATGAATATTCACCCAGGAGATACTGTTTTGGAAGCTGGCTCTGGCTCTGGTGGAATGAGCTTATTTTTATCCAAAGCAGGTAAGAGAGTGGGATAAAAGGAGCTGAATTTAGATAACAAAGAAAACATTTAATCCGTTCATAATGACAGAAAGTTAGATAAAGATGTTTCAGAAAATATTCACATGACTTTGGGATATAAAGAATTCTCTTTAAAACCAAATGTAAGCAACTACATTTTTTCCCCATTTTGTACATTTTTCCAGTCACTCTCTTACCTTTTGCTTTGCTTTCTCTTGCTCCTCTCATGCTTTTTAATGCTTCTACTTAAAAAACAAACAAACAAAAAAAAAACACTAAGCTTTTTATTGGAGCATAACATAGCTACAGGAAAGTGCATGGATCATAAATGTATATCTCAGTGAATTTTTTCTTTTTAATCCTCACCCAAGGGTATTTTTTCCATTGATTTTTAGAGAGAATGTAAGAGAGAGGGAAAGACAGGATTGGTTGCCTCCTGCATGAGCCCTGATTAGGGCCCAGGCGGAGAGGAGCCTGCAACTAAGATACGTGCCCTTGACCAGAATTGAACCTGGGGCCCTTTGGTCCACAGGCTGACCCTCTATCTACTGAGCCAAACCAGCTAGGGCTCAGTGAATTTTTAAATAGTGGCCACCCGCATGTAGTTATTACCCAGAGCAAGATAGGGAATGGTACTGCACCACAGAAGCCTCCCATGTTCCCTATCAGTCCTTATCCTCCCAAAAGGTAACCACTATTCTGACTTTTATCATAATTGATTAGTGTTACTTGTTTTAAACCTCATATAAAAGGAATCACACAGTATGTACTCTTTTGAGTCTGGCTACTTTCATTCAACATTCTGTTTGTGAGATTCAGCCATTGCATATAGCATTAGTGCTTTCATTCTAGTTGCTATATAGTTACTCCATTTTATAAATAAATCACAATTTATCCATTCTACTCCTGGTGGGCATTTGAGATGAATATTATGAATAGTGCTGCTCTGAATATTCTTGTACTTGTTAAAAATAGTGCCAGATGAATTCTCAGTATGAGAGAATATAGAAGGAGGAGGGCTGTCAGTGCTGGGCTGACATACTGTTACAGGTAAAGGATTGTTGGTGTTCATAAATAAATCCTATATAATAAAAGCCTAATATGCTGTCTGGTCGTCCAGTCAGCCATTCAACCAATCAAAGCGTAATATGCTAATGATATGCTAAGGCCACTCAATAGCTTGCTGTCACGTGCACTGACCACCAGGGTGCAGATGCTCAATGCAGGAGCTGCCCCCTGGTGGTCAGTGCGCTCCCATGGCGGGAGTGCCGCTCAGCCAGAAGCCGGGCTTGCAGCTGGTGAGTGCAGCAGTGGTAGCGGGAACCTCTCCTGCCTCTGAGGGCTCCCGGACTGCGAGAGGGCACAAGCCGGGCTGAGGGACTCCCCCCCACCCCCACCCCGAGTGCACAAATTTCGTGCACCAGGCCTCTAGTTAATCATAATACAGAACTAAGTTAAAGCTAGATCATGGAAAATTTTTCTGTCTTTAAGAAAGTCTTTACATAGTCAGTTGCTAAAAGTACTGATTGAAGGGAGCACCTGATCAAAAATCAAGAAGTATATAGTAAATATCTGTTCATGTTTCCACCACTTGATGTCTGGTTACAGTTATCCTAGTTGATTATCCTATGATCACGTAACTCCTCTGAGTGTCAGGATTGCTTTCCCTTCCTCACCTAATTATAGACTCCTGAACAGTGACAGAACTCTCTGGGTAGATTTTTAAAAAATCATTTATGTTGTTCCTTATTGATGCATTCTATTTTTTTTTATTCATTTTTTTAAACTAATAAACTGTCAGAGCAGTTGTAGGTTTATATGGGTCAGTTTTATAAAGATTACAGATAGAAATATGCTGCATTAATCTTAAACCTTTTGTTCTTTGACCTAGTGCCATTACATACAAACAGAATCCAGCTTATACTAAATCAGGAAATTCATTTTGGCTCCTCATATCTTTTGTTTGAATCTAATTAAAGGCAGTAATTTCTTCACAATCTGTGACAGATTCCTGAATGCATTTGACAAAGTGAATTTATAAAAATTTGTAATACAGGAGTGCCCGTATTTCTAATATCTATAGTATTGGCGGAATGTCATGTTATGAATAATCGCAAATTATGAGTGATCAAAAAATTATTGCTACTTACCTTTGGAATGGATTTTCCCCTCTATAATTATATTTTCCAATTGTTTATCTTATGCTACTATTAGCATTAATTTTTATCCCTTGAGAACATGATGACTTGCAGCTGGACTTACATTTCAAAAGACATCTTGTAATGTAAACTTTTCATTAATAAAACTACAGACTGATTGATCTGGGATAGCCTCCAAATGATAGCAAAGCACCTCAGATAGAGGTGGGTGGAAAACGAATTGCCTTACTAAAATGCGGTAGTTTTTTTGTGAAACAGCAGTATTACTGTGCTAAATAGTTTAAAAGTTCTTTAGGCACACACAAAAATACAAATATTTTTTAAATATGTGGAAGGTCTAACCTCATTCATAACAAAAGAAATACAAATTAAAACAACAATGATAAACTATTCAGTTTTAGATTGACATAGATAAGTTTGAGAGAGAGTATAGAGAAATAGGCACTCAAATACATTGTTGGTAGAGTATAAATTGGTATCACTTTTTTGGAGGACAATTTGGTAATAATTTTCAAAATAAAAAATTCACATACCCCCTTGAGCCAGCATGTACATTTTTAGGAATTCTGTAGATATATTGGCTCATGCATATAAAAATTTGGGCATAATAAATTTCATTGCAATATTGTTTATAATAGTGTAAGACTAGAAACAAACTAAATTTTTATTGGTGATTGCTAAATAAATTATGCCATAGCCATACAATGGAATATAAAAACTGTTAAAAATAATGCAGTAGATTGTTAATCACTGAAATGGCACAATAAGTATAAAGGAAGGTAGAGGATACAATATATCACAATGTGTGTTAAAAATAAAGAAGTACTTGCACACTTGTGTAGGCACTAACTATCTTGGGAAGGCTAAATAACTAGTATGGTTACCCCTGAAGAGAGAGGTTGATTGGGTATCTGGGATGGGATAGAGACTTTTGTAAACTTGAACTATTTGAATTATTTTTTTCACATCCATAGAACTTTTTTTGTGTGTGTCGGGGAATCAACCGGGACCCATATAATACCTTTTTACAATATAATTTTTATGTTCTTTTATGAACTAATTAATTCTATGAAATGTCATAAATTATCTGTTTAAGTTGGATCACAAGGACGGGTCATAAGTTTTGAAATACGAAAAGACCACCATGAACTGGCTAAGAAGAATTACAAACACTGGCGTGATTCATGGAAAATTAGTCATGTAGAAGAGTGGCCAGACAACGTGGATTTTATTCATAAAGATATTTCAGAAGCAAGTGAAGACATAAAATCTTTAAAATTTGATGCGGTAAGTTATCAAAAGTGGTTCCTAGGATATTGCTTAATACTGTGTGTGAAGAAAACCAGGGTCACAGTTCTTTTGTATGGGAGAGGGTCTTCCTTCATTATTTGCCCCATTTCTGTATCTGGCATGGAAAGAATATTTTTCCTTCAATATCATGGTGGGATTTAGAGTAGAGAGACTTACTGATTCAGTTGCCAAAGTTATTAATAAATATGGGGTAGTGAACAAGGAGGAGGAGTTGAGCATCATAAACCTCAGCATTTTTAGATAAAGCAGTGTTGGGAGCATATTGAACCCAGCACCTGACCTCATGTTGTGAGATTTTGGGGGAATAAATAGCTTCTATTTGAGAGGGAACAGGCAGGAGGTATCTTAGACAGTTAAAGTCGAGATGTAGAAGAGTATTTATTAACAATGTTGAGGATTCATTCTGACTCCTGTGCATCTCTCACATTTCACAGCCAATCCTATTTGGCTCTTACCTTTTCAAAATTTATACCACTTCTCATCACATCCAATGCTGTTTGCTGTTGCGAGCCATCATTATCCTTCCTTACCCTCCCCAGTCTTTTTTTTTTTTTTTTATATTTTTATTGATTTCAGAGAGGAAGGGAGAGGGAGAGAGATTTTGAACCATCAATGATGAGAGAGAATCACTGATCGGCTGCCTCCTGCACGCCCCCTACTGGGAATCGAGCCCGCAACCCGGGCTTGTGCCCTTGACCAGAATCAAACCTGGGACCCTTCAGTCCACAAGGCAACGCTCTATCCATTGAGCCAAACCAGCTAGGGCCTTTTCTATAGTTTTAAAAGTATGTCATAATATACTTAATGACACCAAATTATACATTTAAAATGGCAAGTTTTGTTATATTTAACATGGAAAAAAGATTTATAAAAAGTCAGATTATATCATTCTTTGAAACTCTCCAGTGGCTTTTTCTCCTCCTAAGTAAGATTCTACATAATCTGTCCCTCTCCCGCTCCCACATCTCCACCATTCAGAACTCATCTCTTACCATCCTCCCCATTTTGTCTCCAGTGACAGTGGCCTTTTCAGACTCCAACTATCATACAGCCTCAGAGCATTTGTATTTGCTGGTCTCTCTGCCTCAGCACACTTTCCCTTTAAGTTTCCACAGGGTAAGCTTAATCATTTTCTTCAGGTCTCATCACTGACCAGCCTATGTATAAAACAGCACCTTCTTTCCCTGCCCTCATATTCTCTATCCCTCATATTCTGCTTTATAATCATGTAGGTCGTCATGTCACTCATCACCCTCTGACATATATTTATTGGATATTTGTTTAATGTCTGTGCCTTTATCTATCTATCTATATAAAAGTCTAATATGCAAATTGTCCCCTTGGGAGTTCGATCACGTGCACTGACCACCAAGGGGTGGCGCAGAATAAAGGAAGGCCCTGGGGCGACAGCCAGAAGGCCCCAATTGGCCCTGGTTGCCAGCCAGGCCTAGGGACCCTACCTGTGCACGAATTTCATGCACTGGGCCTCTAGTTAGAATTCACTGAGTGGCCAGATTATGACCACCCCATCAGTACTTCATTGACAATTCCAAAAATACTGAATACTGAACTTCCTAAGCAAATACTCTCAAGGTTTTATTATTATTATTATTATTTGCATAACTAATTCACTTCATTGTACTGATGGGGTGGTCATAATAATCTGGCCACTCAGTATATAAGTTCCTATGAAAATAGTATGTAAGCTCCTGTTATATCCTTACCACTTAGCAAAATGCTTGGCACATGAAAGGTGCCCAAATGGTGAATAAATTAATAATGATGCTCCTTGACTCATTAATATTTTTTAAACAAAAACTAAAAAACATCAATAGAATAACTTCTAATTATGTGCTATGCATTATGTAAGTATATTGATGTGCCAACTACTCTTAGCTGTCCGGAATTATCTTTCAGTAATAGTCACTTTATTTTCTATTTTGACCATATTTATTTTGCATGCCCCTGACTGGGGATCCAGTCCACAACTTGGGCATGTGCCCTGACCAGGAATCTAACCAGCAATCCTTTGGTGCACAGATGCCACTCATCCAACTGAGCCACATCAGCCAGGGCTCAAATATGTTTTTGTTTTGTTTTGAAATATATTTTTATTGACTTCAGAGAGGAAAAGAGAGGGAGACATTAATGATGAGAATCATTGATCAGCTGTCTCCTGCATGCCCCTACTGGGGATTGAGCCCACAACATGGGCATGTGCCCTGATCTGGAATTCAACTATACCTTCCTGGTTCATAGGTTGATGCTTAAGAACTGAACCACGCTGGCCAGGCTCAAATATTTTTTTTATATTCAGAAGAAAAATTCTGAATATTAACTTTAGACATTCTAAAGTGTAAGAATCATGTTCTTTCTTTCTTGCATCGATGTTCCTCTCCCTCTCCCTTCCTTTCTAAAAATCAATAAAAAATCTTTAAAAAAAGAAAAATATTTGAGATGTGAATTTCTATTGCCAAAAGCTCAACTAAAGCATTGAAACTTTGTATATACATATGTATGTATATAAAATATAACTAAGGAAGGATTCCTTTATTACCAGCATTGCCCAGTGCAAGACATGCCACCACCATTTTTTTTATTGATTTCAGAGAGGCATAGAAATATCAGTGATGAGAATCATGGATCGTCTGCCTCCTGCACGCCCTCTACTGGGGATAGAGCCTGCAACCTGGGCATGTGCCCTTGACCGGAATCGAACCTGGGACCCTTCAGTCCACAGGCCGACACTCTATCCACTGAGCCAAGCCAGCTAGGGCATGCCATCACCATTTTTATGTAGTACTATGACAAATTGTGTGATAATATATCTTTTGAGGAGCAGTAAAATAAGATAGTAGTACAATATTCAAAAAAATGCAGTACTTTAACTGGGTAATTGCTTTCCAAAAGTGTATCATTTTACCATGATAACCTATGCCGTAAACAGAATTCAGTCTGATTCTCCTTTCCCCCCACAGGTAGCTTTGGATATGTTGAATCCTCAAGTTGCTTTGCCTGTTATATACCCTAATCTTAAACAGGGTGGTACATGTGCTGTATATCTAGCAAAGTGAGTGATGTGGCTATTACTTGTGATTTTAAACACATGTTCATTTTGTAACTGAGTTAGGTATATACACTGAGTGGCCAGATTATTATGACCACCTGACGTTTGTAGGCAGATTAGCCGTACACTGCACCGTACACTGCATGGGATATGGAAGCCGAAGGCCTGTTTGAACACCTTTGCTATCTGCAGTTACCAAGATAAAACGTCTCAAATTCACACAGGAACACAAGGATTGGACAGTCGAGCATTGGAAAAAAGTCATGTGGTCCGATGAATCACATTTCCAGTTGCATCATGCAGATGGCAGAGAATTTGGCGGAAACAGCATTAAAGCATGCACCCCACATGCATGAGTACAACCCTTCAAGCTGGTGGGGGCAGTGTTATGGTTTGGGGCATGTTTTCCTGGCATGATTTGGGCCCTTTAATTTGTGTGGAACAACGTCTGAATAGCACAACATACCTAAGTATTGTTGCTGATCAAGTTTATCCTATCATGTTGATGGCGTATCCCAACGGAGATGGCTTCTTCCAACAAGACAAAGCATCATGCCACGGTGCTCGTATTGTGCAGGAGTGGTTTCAAGAACATGGGGGAGACTTTACCTTGCTTCGGTGGCCCCCACAATCACCAGATCTCAATCCAATTGAGCATTTATGGAATGAAGTTAAAAGAGCCATCAGGCAGCTGGTTCCACAACCATCAAATCTCACAGAACTGGACAGTGCTATTCATCAGGCATGGTGTCAGATTCCTCGCATCACCTTTCAACATCTCGTGGCGTCAATGCCAAGAAGAATTGCCGCAGTATTGAAGGCAAAAGGTGGCCCAACAAAGTACTGATGGGGTGGTCATAATAATCTGGCCACTCAGTGTATGTCACCTTTTAAAACTTAGGAAACTACGTATGTCCCAAATCATTTATATTGCTGCTTAAGTCATCCTTTACATAAATGGCAATATAAGATGCATTTTCTTCGGGCAATTTAGAAGAAACGTTTAAAAAGTGTAATGTGAACAAGTAATGTTAAATTAAGTTCTCTATATTTTTTACTTAGTATTATTTAAAATTGCTTATTATGTGCCCTAGCTTGCATTTTTACTTTTAGGTATAGTAAATTTAAAGTTGTTGTACTAGAAACTTAAAGTACATATTTTACTTTTCTGAAAGCATCACACAGGTTATTGAACTTTTAGATGGAATTCGCATCTGTGAATTTGCTCTCTCATGTGAAAAGATAAGTGAAGTCATTGTCAGAGATTGGTTGGTTTGCCTTGCAAAACAGAAAAATGGAATTTTAGCTCAAAGAGTAGAACCTGAAATCAACGTGGATTTACAATTACAATCTCAAAAGATTAGAGCTGAAGGTGAGATGCTTCAGGATGGCCCTGGTGAGATGCTTCAGGAGGATGGCCACGGTGAGCTTCGGTTTTATTTTATGCATGTGTATGTGATAAGTGGAGAATAGGTTCCTGAGTGTATTGACCAATAAATTATAAAAATGTGTCTGAAGGATTTTTTTTTTGTATTTAAATGTGGTATTTATGCTGTTAAATTAAAATATGTAAGGGACAGAATAATGACTTTGCTTGCCTTTTATAATATTCATATTTTACCTGTGACAAGGAGGTTAACTAAAAAAAACTGAAGGAAAAGAATTTCATAGGACCTGATATGCAAATAAACTGATATTTGCTATTTATGAGGCTGGAATTCTCCAAATTTAGGACTTTGTTGTATGTACACATTATTTAGGCTATGAGCAAATGTTCATATATCCCTTGATTTATTATGAGTTTATCTGTTTAGTTATAAAACCATATATATAACTTTATTATGTAATCCTTGATACATTATTTCTATGAGGTAACTGGCATAATAGCTCCAAAACAAAATGCTAAAAAAAATGTGAAAGAAAAACTTACAGTGATGGGAGATTAATTTGTATTTTAACAGTTTTGAAATATTTGAACAAATTATGAAATATATTATGTAATTTACAATATGTACTTTGTTCTACAACAGAAGAATCTCATTCTGATTTTCCATATGGATCATTTCCCTATGTTGCTAGACCTGTACACTGGCAAACTGGTCATACAGGTGAGTAATGTTTTCAGGCCATATTAAATGGTATTTTCTTCTAATTATTATAATGACCTTTACTTTTTCCCCCCACTTAAATTAGCTTTTCTTGTCAAGTTGAGGAAGTTCAAACCACAACTTAACTGAGTACCTCAGATGACGGCAACTGATTCGAAGACAGAAAAGTATCAAAATAGAACTTTATGTTGCAAATCATTACTTTTGTAGATTGGTATTTTTAGCTATTACTGTGATTTGTATAACTTTTACTTATAATTCTGAAAAATAACAAAAGCTAAAGAAAGATGTGTAGCATTTTAAAACTGCTTAAATGTCCACTTTGACAACTGTCTTGTAGTTAGTTTGACATATTGTAGTTAATGATTCCAAGTTGTTTTAGTTGAGCCATCTCATTCTTCACTTCCTGTAAACCACTCCATAGATTTGTCTTTCTTCATGAAATTAGTTTTCTTTTCTTTGTTTGATTGATCGTCATTGGCTACTGAAATAAAATATGCATTTTAAGATAAGTTTTATGTATCTGTATTTTAAATACATATTTTAATGACTTGTATGTATCTTAAAAGGTACAAAGAAATCTGGGTTATCCTATATCCTATATAATAGAAGCTAAGTGTCCGACCTTTCTATCAGTCACTATGATGCGCACTGACCACCAGGGGGCCGATTGGGACTGGGCCAGACAGACGAACTTGGAGCCCTCCCACGGTCCCTCCCCGGCCCCGATCGTGCACCAGTGGGGTCCCTCAGCCTGGCCTGCACCCTCTCGCAATCCAGGACCCCTCGGGGGATGTCGGGGAGCCGGTTTCGCCCCGATCCCCGCAGGCCAGGCCAAGGGACCCCACCAGTGCATGCATCCGTGCACCAGTCCTCTGGTAGTAAATAATATGGAGAAACTGATAAGATTGATATAATCACCTTAAAAATTGTAACAAAAGATGTAACAATTCTTGCATCACTTTTTTCTTTCCCAGAATCATTTTAACCAGCTTAGAAGAACATCACAATTATTCTGTTACTATATAAATCAAACGCTTGGAGAAATATACTTTATAAATATGAATTAAAACGAAAGTATTATTCACAGGCACCAGTTATTTAGCATTTACCATGTGCCTTACATTGTTTTAAGACCTTTATAGTTTTTTCATTTAGTATGTACAGCTCATCTTTAAGATTATCCATATTTTACAAACAGGTTTAGAGTGGTTAGATTGTTGTTTAAGCATAGATGTTTTATAGGTTTAAAGTAGTAATGCCTAGGAGGATAAATGCTATTCCTTGATTTATCCCTTAAGCTATAGCTATTTTAATTAATATATAAATTCTAAATAATGTTTTACATGGTTTTCATCATGTGGAAAATTTTAACCTAAAATCTCTGCCTTTATAGACTACAGTCTATGGAAAAGCTAGGCATTAATCACATAAATTTGAAACTAAAACTGTTTTATATGCTCCAAAGAAGTTCAGGGTGCTGTAATAAGGGTTTTGCTCTGGTTAAGTAATTACCTGTGAAGTGACAACTGAGCTGAGACCTGACTGGTAAGTAGGAATTGACTACAGAAGGGAAAATGGAAACAAAAAGGCCACTGATGTTAGGGTTGAGTGAAACGGACTGGAAAGATAGGTAAGGGTCAGGCCATACAGGATCTTGTAGCCCTGTGAAGGAGTTGGTTTATCCTAAAAAAAATGGGGTGCCATTTAAGGATTTAATGAAGGGTAACATGCTTAGATCTATGTTTTGAAAAAAAAACACTGTGGTTGCATTTGGAAGACTGATTGAATCATAGAGTGTTCTGGTGCCATCTTTCTGTATGGTAAGTACTATCTGAACACTCAAACAATAATGGATTTATAGTTTTCATAACATTTCCAGATATATAGCAGCTCTGAAGTACATATTTAAATTCCATCATGGAATACTCCTTTTTGTTTAATTAGCAGCAAAATTCTGCCCTTCGTTGTTTTGAATGCAGGCCTTAATTGTACTGATTGGAGAATGGGACTGGCCTAAGAGCAAAGAAAAGTTGTGCCTTCTACTCCTATTTCACGAAAAATAGTTTCTGCTCAGTACACTGTGCTCAGTAGATGCTGAATTGAACAAGATCTAACAGTGTCCATTCTAATTTTGAGTTGAAAATCAAACTACATAAGCAAAAAAGATTTATATAAGTAATCAAAGTTCAGCTTAAGACCTTTCTCCATCTCTCCGTCGAACACTAAGCATGTTTACGGTCTGGTTTATGGAAAATACCTTCTTCTAAAGTTAGATTTCTGTTTATGTCTGGCTCTTACTTACCATAGTGTGAATCCTAGAGATTTGTGAATGACTCATAACTGTCTACCCAGTGTTTTCCAAGGGCCCCCTGCCTTTTCCACCCTGTATATATAGTCAATAAAAGTGCTAATGGTTTTAAGCCTAAACTGGATCATGTATTGTCTCATCTGTTGCCTTGTTTGTTCTAGGGAAAACTTTAGGTGTATAGCTCTTAGATTGTGGAAGACTTTAAGTTCAAACTTTATACTTCAGAGATAATAGGAAACTTCTGAAGGTTATATGGTCATGTAAAAGATAATTTCTTAAAGTCAGTCTGTTAGTGGTATCTGAGTATTCAAAGGAAAGAAAAACTGTTAAATCAGAAATTTCATAGTAATACATAGTATACAACTATGAGGTAGTAATAAATAATAATAATGTGAGGAAAAGGGGCAGATGTAAAAAATATATAGTGAAGGAAGAACCAGACAAGCTGGTAATTTATTGGATGCAGTGGGAGAGAAGCAATATAGTTTCAAACTTTTATCCTCTATTCAGAATCCTTTTCCCTTCTCTGGGCAAAACTGGACTCAGTCAATGGCCAGTTCATATACTTCCTCTGAAAAGCCTTCACCAAGTCCCTCACACACAGAATTAATTTTGGAATCTTTTGTGCTCCTAAATGTTGGTCATGTAATTAGCATTGCCCTTATTATATAACTAATTTATAAGCCCTGATTATGCCTTCATTAAGTGTAAGGGTTTTAAACCTGAATGAGTAGAATAGGGGTGACAAAAATAAGTTCAGAGAAGGATTTTTGAGGAAAAATTATTTGATTTTAGGTTATATAATAGAATGTCCCAGGCCTGTCTACAAAACCAAACTAAGGTTTGGTATATGGTTTTTTTCCCTTGGATTCACTCTAAAATCTGAAGTCTTTAGGTAATATGTACTAATACATATCCATGTTTCAGATGGACTACCCTAGGTGTCATAAGGCTTATTTAAGACAGCATAAGGCAAAGAGAAACAATGTACAGTTGACTCTCGAACAATGTGGGGGGTTAGGAGTGCCAACCTCCCATGCGGTAGAAAATCCGTGTATAACTTGATTTCCCAAAAACCACAATTGGCCCTTTGTATCTGCAGGTTTCGCATCCTGATTCAACTGCAGGTTGAAAACAGTATTTTCAATCCAGGGTTAGGAATCAGTTGATGCAGAAGAGAGACTGTACTAATTGTCTACAGTTGACTGGAAGCCTTACCAATAACCAATAGTCAGTTAACACATCTTATATATTATTATCTATTATATACTATATTATTAAAGTAAGCCAGAGGTAAAAAATGTTAAGAAAATTGTAAGGATAATACATTTACTGTATTTCTTGAAAGAAAAAGGCACATGTAAGTAGACCCATGCAGTTCAATCCTGCACTAAGGGTCAACTAGTTTATTTAATATAAAAATAGCCAGTTTGACTCAGTGAATAGAGCGTCAGCCTGCGGACTGAAGGGTCCCGGATTTGATTCCGGTCAAGGGCACGTACCTTGGTTGCAGGCTCCTCCCTGGCCCAGGAAGCAACCAATGGATGTGTTTCTCTCACATCGATGTTTCTGTCTTTCCCTCTCTCTTCCACTCTCCCTAAAAATATCAATGGGAAAATATCTCTGGCAAGGATTAACAACAACAACAAAAAAACAAAGTGCAGTACATTCAGATAGAACTGGATTCCCATATTGCTGTTTTTCTTGTTGCTGTTTTACCTTGCAACTGTGACTTTTCTTTTTTTTAAATATATTTTTATTTCAGAGAGGAAGTGTGAGATAGAAACATCAATGATGAGAGAGAATCATTGATCAGCTGCCTCCTGCACACCCCACACTGGGGATCGAGTCCACACCCTGGACATGTGCCCTGACTAGGAATCGAACTGTGACCTCCTGATTCATAGGTGGATGCTCAACCTACTGAGCCATGCCGGCAGGGTGCAACTGTGACTTTTCTGAGTTTGTGTCTTCAGCAGTAAAATGAGTATCATAGTGCCACTCAAAGATTTTGGGGGAACAGGTCAGGTGTTAAAAGAGGCTACCTTTATAAAATGCCTAGCACATGATTAGTGAGTGTGATGTACCTAAATTTGTAAAGAATGCCTCATCTATTCCCCCCCAGCCTTGTCAAAAGAAAAATATTATGTTCTTAATAAATGTCATAAACATGTTTATATATAAAACTTGTTTTCTGAACATTTTGTTTTGAGGAAAGAATTTTAACATTTTACCTGAAAAAATGAGAAGTTACTTGCTTGTGTTTGAAAGAAAGAGGGAAGCATTGGTAAGCACCTATTGCTAAGTTTTAGCATAAAAGCCTGGAGCAGAGCATCAGTTCTTTGTGTCTCTTCTGGAGAAAGCTGAATTGAACCACAAACTGTTAGGTGATTCCAGCCACCTTCATGTTGATAGGAGGAAGAAAATTTTGCTAGCAGAGGTCACTACAGGGAATCAGCAGCGCTAAGGCAGCGAGAGACTGATCACTGCTCCTAATAACATTGTTACCCTTAAACCACCCCCTCTCCCTTTCCCAAATACTCCCTTATTAAGCCTTTTTAGGGAAAATGAATTTAAATGTTTAAGTATGATAAATAATTTTTCTTTGTACTGCCTACTCTGTCATCCTGAAACAAAAGGTCTTACATTTATTCAAGTCAATACTCTGAATAAAACAGTTGATGAGTAAATACTTGTTCCTTCCTGTATATGAATTGTCTATCCTAAACCAGGGCTTTATGGCTTTCATCAAGGGAGACGGTGAGCCCTCGCTGGTTTGGCTTAGTGGATAGAGTGCCCATGGACTAAAGGGTCCTGGGTTCAATTCCAGTCAAGGGTACATACCTCAGTTGCAGGCTCAATCCCCAGCCCTAGTCAGGATGCATGTGAGAGACAACCAATTGATGTGTGTCTTTCACGTCTATGTTTCTCTCTATCTCCCTTTCTCCCCCTCCCTTCCATTCTTTCTAAAACTCAATGGAAAAATATCCTCAGGTGAGAATTTAAAAAAAGGGGGACAGGGGAATGGGTGAAAGCACAGTTCTATTTATTCTGTTTACAACTCCCCTAACCGCACTTTA